ACTTTCTAATATTTGTTTGAATAGTTTCCATTTATCCTCAGTGTTTTTATCACTAAGGAGTTTATGCCAGTCGATATGTTGTAGAGCTGCCCTAATCTTATTGAAATTGGCTTTTTTTAAATTATATGTTTTAGTATACCCCACTTTCTTTTGCTTTTTTGAGTTTATTTCAAAATTTATCATATTATGATCACTATTTCCCAAATGCTCCCCTACTTGAATATTGGTTAAAAGATCAACATTGTAACATTGTTTGTTACGACGAGATCCAGACAAGCATCCTTTCTAGTTGGTGCTTGTCCCAGTTGTGACATAAAGGTGTCATTTAACACATTCAAAACCTGATTCCCCTTGCTGAAGTACTAGTCCCTCTATCCCAATTTAAAATCTCCAAAAAATAACGTGTTACCTCGATTTGCAGCTTTCTCAGTTTACTCAGAACAGCTGTTCTTCCCAAATAATATTTACATTAGGTGGTTTATAACATATCCCAACCAATAATTGATTTCCCTTTGTTTGCCCCAAGCAGATATCTACCCATAAAGCCTCCACATTTTCCTCGTCACACTCCACATGCCTAAGATTTGACTTTAACTCATGGTTGACATATAAATATACCCCACCACCCTTCTTGTTTTTCCTATCCTTCCTATATAATGTGTAACCATTTAAATTAACTACCCAGTCATGTGTCTCAACCCACCATGTTTCTGTTATGCCTACTATATCATATTGTTTAGTGTATGCTATTGCCTCTAGTTCCCCCATTTTGTTATATAGGCTCCTTGCATTAGTAAGCATACATTTAATATTATCATGAGTCATTTGTACTTTTTGTGAATTATCAATATTACAAACCTCCTCTGTTCTGAGCTTTCCCCTCCCCCCATCTCCACCTCCTTTGTTCTGAGCTAAAGTCCATCTCCTTTCCATCCTATCTCCATTTTCTAGATTGCTTTGACCCTCCCCCCACCACTAGTTTAAAATCTCCTCCAACCTTTTAGCCATCCTATCCCCCAGCACAGCAGACCCTCTTCCGTTTAGGTGCAATCCATCATGACTATACAGGTTGTTCCCAAGCGCAAAATCGGCCCAGTGCTCTAAAAACCCCAAACCCTCTTTCCTGCACCAACACTTTAGCCACACATTGACCTCTCTAATCTCCCGCTGCCTTTCTGCTGTAGCTCGTGGCACAGGTAATATTTCTGAAAAAAATTACCTTGGAGGTCCTTTTCTTTAGCTTACTTCCTAGTTCCCTGAACTCATTCTTTAGGACTTTCCATTTTCCTCTGACTTTGTCATTGGTACCAATATGGACCATGACAGCTGGGTCATCTCCAGCCCCTCCTAATAATCCCTCCACTCTGTTGGCAACATGCCGGACCCAAGCACCCGGGAGACAGCAAACTGTCAGGTTGAGTCGATCAGAGTGGCAGATTACCCTATCTACTCTCTTAATAATAGAGTCCCCTACCGCCACAACCTGTCTAAACTTCCTTACCCTCTCAACTCCACCCGTACTAGAGGGGCTGTCCCACGGCTGTTAGCAGGAACAGCTTCCTGCAGTACAGCTACTCCTGAGCTGATGCTCCCAACATCTTCACTCAAACGGGCAAATCTGTTAGGCTGCATGAGATCAGGACTAGTTAAACCTTTTCTCTTCCCTCCCCCCTGCTTCCTCACCCCACTGTCACCCAGCTACGTGCCTTTTCCCCATCTGTCTTATCTCCTCCCTCTCCACTACCTGTCCCCACTAAACTCTGCTCAGTGAGCAGCAGACTCCTCTCAAGATTGTCAATCTCCCTCAGTGTTACAATTTGCCTCTCCAGATCTCTAATCTGAGCTTCCAGAATTGTCACTTGCTCACACCCACCACAGAGGTATGGACCCTGGAAAGAATTATCCAGGCATGCATACATGCGGCATGATGTGCACTGAGTTAAACTCGCAATCTTGCTAGTGCACACTTGCACTATTTTAATTATGCTAACAATTTACAATACAATTGTGAAATTATATACATTGATAGGTGACTTTCCAATGACCATCATATGTAGATAATTGTGGAAAATTGTTTCATAATTTCCATAATTTTCTTTTGCTGATCATTATACTTGGCAGCATTTACTCATGGGTTAGCTCCTTCCCTCACAGTAAAAAGGACAGGAAATAGAACTCTGAAATTGGTATAAATAGATCCACCCCCTTCTCATCAGGCAGTCTTTGTAACTAGCTTCACAACTCACAGAGTGAATAGGTGGGAACTTAAGGTGGCCATGTTTTATGATCAGGAAAATAAAATTACGGTAAGCAATGGTAAAATTTTTTCCATATTTCTGATCATACATGGAAGCATTTACTCATTGGGAACACCCAAGCAGTATAGATAATGGGAGGAACAGAGTTCAAATACAATATAATTATAATACATAGGAATATCTGTTCAGACAAGTTATTTTATCCCAGGGGTCAGTAACCCCCTGGCTTTCAAATATTGGGAATATCCTGGAAAATTACAGTGTCAGGTAGGAATTAAGGTCATGATAACCAAACCTGAGCAAAGCTAGGCTAATACAAGGAAAACTATTGTAAGAAACAAGATACCTGTCTTGTCTCTGTCTTGCTATGTAGAATATTAAAATAAATTAGAAGACAACCTCCTTAAAACAAAGACATGGTTTAGAAAGTACTATATAATGTCCTTTTCTAATGTAGATTAAATACCCAATGGATGGCTCTTTTAAATCAGAACCTTGTCAAAGGCATAACTTTCAGCGGTCAGACTATAATTCCAGACAATGTTGAATGAAACCAGTCATACCTTGCTATCAAAAAGGGAGGAGAATTAAATTGAAAATCCTCTAAAAGTATTAATTTATTAATGATAATTTACACTGTTTCCTCTTGCCTTGTGAATTACTTACCTCTATAAAGGAAACAAAACAACTGCCTGTATAAGAGGCAGAGAGGCAGAGCCTAGTAGAGAAATAGGAGAGTATGTCATTAAAACATTAAAACATTGTAACAATGAATATAAATTGTAAATATCAACTGACACAACTATGAATGGTGGTTTGATACAATGATGATCAATTACAGAAGAGGTAGAATCCCCCACCCCTAACTCCCCCCCTTCCCCTCCCTATGTTGTTTTTACTCCCCCCATCCCTCCCTCCCTTCCTATGTTCTTCTCACCTCCCCTTCTCTGGGTGTAGCGTGGCCAAGCTCCTCTTCCTCCTGTCAGTCTGGCCAGGTACCGCGTGGTACAGGAGATTCAGTTTCCTGTTCCCGGCCGGACTTAAAGGAAGTGAGCACTCAGTGTGCACTTCCTGTCAGTCCGGCCGGGAACAAGAAACTGAATCTCCTGTACCACGCGATACCCAGCTGGACTGACAGCCAGGAGGAAGAGGAGCTCAGCAACACTACAGGGAAGGGGAGGTGATGACGAGGAGTGCTGCAGCCGCCTGAGGCTCTCTATAGAGTGCTCAGGCGGCTGCAGCCTTATAGGTTGCAACGGCTCTGCTTGGGACCCTGGGCCACCTTGGGGCCCCAAGCAGTTGCTTGGTTTGCCTGTCCGGTACCGATGGGCCTGCTTCTAGATGTTAGTGTGTACTCTGAGTCAAGCCCCTCCTCTTTCAAATAGATAGGGGACGGATGCTATCTCCTCCCTCCATGATGCGGGTGTCTGCCCCCTACTCTGACTGGCATATCTCTGTGATGCATTCCACATTCAGAGGTCGTCTATGTAGGAGGCACCTCTTATAAACCGCGCCTCACATTAGCCATGCCTCCCATCAGCTGCACCCCCCATCCGCCACGCCACCTATCAGCCGCACCTCCTATTAGCGCATACAGACTCTGCTATTTTCTGTTTTACCTCTCAAGGTTTTCTGGATTCCCAAATGCCCTGATTTTCTGTTTTTCTTTTTTGAGTGGTTATTTATTTTTATATTGTGTAACGGGGTTTTGGGGGTGCCCCCTAGTGTCTTTGGGGTCCCCAAACCTAGTTAACTCACTATGCCTGACAGGCGGATCCTGAGCCTCCGCTATCTGGGAGCTGGGGTACATGTCTGCGGCAGTGCCTCCACCCAGTGGAGCATCCGGGGTAGGGATGTGGGGTCCCACTGGGAACATACTTGGTGCAATGAGACTGACACAGTCTAACTGGGACTAACTTTATATGGTAAGTAACAATTGAACCAACATACATAGGAAAATACAATAGAGTAACACAGATAACAATGCAAAATGTGGATTTTCCTCACTCACCCACCAGCACACCTGCGCCCCACCCCCTTATCTTCGCCCTAGCGGCCGTTGGTGCACATAGGAGAGTTGGGGCCCTTATAAGTCCTGCTTCACAGGGTCACTGAAGCAGCCTCAGATGTGTAATGTCCGTCACGGGACCTCAGAGTCTTTACTGTGAGTGAGGAGACAGGTGCCCTGTGGTGATACAGGGAGAGGCTTGGCTTACCCTCACAACACGATTAACCAGTCAGTCAGCAGCAGTCTCCTCTCACTGGATTCGCCAGACGTCTGGACTCAGTGCTTGTCTTCTTTCCTTTCCTGCAGGTCCCTCTCTCAGCTGGTGGGATCTTGGGTGAAACAAGTTCTCTCAGCCAGGCCCTATCTCTGTGCTACAGTCTCTCACATGTCCTCTCTCTGGCTCAGCATGTGGTCACTCTTAGAATCCTCCTCCCTCAGAGCTGTGCAGGAAGTCCTGACAGGCCCTGCGATGATGCCACACTCCTCTCTTGATTTCAGCAAGTCATGTGATCAAAGCTCAATGTTTTATTAACAGCATACTGAGTCCATGTGCCATCTACTGGGCATTTCAGATAATGCAGCCTGTGTAACTTCACGGGCTACATGCTCCCCCTTGAAAATACTTGCCTTCCACTGGCAAGTCCTAGCCAGGGAGCTTAACAAAAATTCAACAGAAAAAGGTTTAGCATACCTACAGTACAGTTAGCACAGTAACATCCTAGCTAGCTAGTTATTTAGGGTAAACAGTCACTAACATTTACCACTTCAGCTAGTGCATGTAGGAAAGTGGCCATTTTAAATGCTGCTTGTGTCAGCGGGGCATAACTGGGCTCTCCTATATTATCATAAACTAGGGCCCTAGGGGGTTGCCGCACTCTGGTGCTGTGTCTCAGTTCTCGCTGGGGGAGAGGATCTTGGGACATCAACTGTGGAACTTCGACTCCTGCCCTCGAAGTAGAGTTTTTAAGGGAAGTTCCAGGCACAAAACAGGGACTTTCTGGATTCAACCTTGGAGAACTTTGTGACCCAGGAGAGGTTCCGGGACTTTGTGAAACCACAGGAGTTAAAGGAGGCAATTGTTGTGTTTCTTCAGCGGGTGATGACCACCACTGATCCTCTGCACTGGGAGTTCCCGGGGTCTCCTCTGCCCCATTTCCAGGACTCTCTGCTGGGGTTTCCTCCAGTTCTTCACTACTCTCTTCCTCTTCATCAGTATACACAACTGGAAGCAGATGGTTTCTATGCCAAGCCTTTATTCGGCCCTCCGGGCCCCGAATGTTGTACACTGGCAGTCCTTCCAGTTTGGACACAACCTCAAACAGGGTATCTTTCCATCTGTCAGCCAGTTTGTGTTTTCCAGGCACACCTAGATTCCGGAGAAGAACTTTATCCCCTGCTTGAATCTCCCGATATCTCACCTTAGCATCATATCTTCTTTTGTTCCGTTCTTCCATTTTTGCTGCAGCTTGGGTGGCCAACTCGTAGGCCCGACGAAGGTTTTGTTTGAGGTTCCTCACATATTGAAAGTGTGAAGTTGAATCTGTTCCATCAGGAGACACTCCCAACCGGACATCTATCGGCAATCGAGCTTCTCTTCCGAACATTAAGAAATAGGGTGAGAACCCTGTAGATTCATGCCTTGTACAGTTGTATGCGTGGACCATGGTTTCCACATGTTTACTCCAAGACCGCTTCTCGATTTGCTTGAGAGTCCCTAGCATATCTAGGAGGGTCCTATTGAAACGTTCTGGCTGTGCATCACCCTCCGGATGATAAGGTGTGGTTCTGGACTTCTGCACCTGCAACATGCCTAACAGCTCCTTTATCAACTTACTCTCAAAGTCTCTACCTTGATCAGAGTGTAGCCGATTGGGTAGTCCATAGTGAATAAAATACTTCTGCCAAAGGACTTTGGCTACAGTCACAGCCTTTTGGTCTTTAGTGGGGAAAGCTTGAGCATATCTGGTGAAGTGGTCCGTTACCACCAGCACATTTCCAATTCCCGCTGTATCGTCCTCAATGCAGAGATAGTCCATGCACACAAGATCCATGGGTCCCGTACTTTTCAGATGACCCATAGGGGCAGCTCTCACAGGCAGGGTCTTCCTCTGGATACACCTCCTGCATGTCTTTACATGTTGCTCGACATGTTCCCTCATGCGAGGCCAATAGAACCGATCTTGTACTAGGCCATAGGTCTTGTCCACCCCGAGATGCCCATGTTGATCGTGGAGAGCTCTCAGGACCATGCCACGGTATCGGTGCGGTAGTACCAATTGTTTTCTGTCAGGGTGATCATGATACTTCACGACCCTATAGAGTACTCCATCTTCGAGATGTAGTCGGCTCCATTCTCTTCGGTATAATTCTCTTTGATTCACAGGTAGAGAAGTCAGCAATTTAGGATTCTTAGTCTTTATTGCTCTGATAACTATCCCAATATACCAGTCCTGCGCTTGAGCCTTCCTCTTGTCTTCTGTGGTTATACTGGACCACTGTTGAAGCATGACTGGAGCATGGAACACCTCAGGCACAGCTTCGGGAGAGTGGCTAATGGAGTCTATCCCTCTTAGCTCGGCAAATTCTTCTTGACTCTCGGCCACCACATACATCTGACAAAAGGCTCCTACCCCCGGCCCAGGGATCTCTTCCCACTCCTCTTCTTCTTGGTGAGGGGGGAGTCTAGGTCTGCGGGACAGGGCATCTGCGCTGACATTCTTGGGCCCAGGCTTGTACTTCAGGCTGAAACTGTAGTTTGACAAGGCAGCCAACCACCTATGTCCTGTAGCATCCAGCTTAGCTGTAGTCTGGATGTAGGTAAGTGGATTGTTGTCAGTCCTTACTTCGAATGTTGCCCCATACAAATAGTCATGCAGCTTATCCACGATGGCCCACTTGAGTGCCAGAAATTCCAATTTATGGACTGGATAGTTCTTCTCTGCACCTGTAAGACTCCTACTTATGTAAGCCACCGGCCTCAATCCTGCTGGATAACTTTGGTGCAGTACACCCCCTAGGCCTTCCATACTGGCATCCACATGGAGGATATATGGTTTCTCAGGGTCTGCATAGGCTAAGACAGGAGCTTCTGTAAGTCTCTTCTTCAGCGTCAGAAAGGCATCTTCACATCCTGAAGTCCATTTCTCTCCAAAGGGGTCTTTAGGATATGGTGCCTTAACACCCTTTACGTCAGAGATAATCTTCAGCAGGTCATGTAACTCTCGAGCAATCTTTGAGTAGTCTTTCACGAACCTTCGGTAGTAACCACAGAATCCGAGAAAGGACCGCAACTCACCGATGTTATTTGGTCTTGGCCAATTCAGCACTGCTTCAATTTTAGCAGGATCTGTGGCTACTCCTTCAGCGGAGACTATGTGCCCCACATAAGTGACAGAGTTCTGGGCAAATCGGCATTTGTCCACTGATAGCTTCAGGCCTTCAGCTTGAAGTCGATCCAACACCTTTAGCAATCTTTGTTCATGCTCCTCTGGTGTCTTCCCGAAAACAATTAGGTCATCTAGATACACTAGACACTCTTTGGGATTCATATCCCCCACAGTTTTCTCCATCAGCCTCTGAAAAGTAGCAGGAGCTCCTGTGACTCCCTGAGGCATTCTGGTAAACTGGAAGAACCCCAAAGGGCAGATGAAAGCTGTCTTTTCCTGATCTTCCTTCTTCATGGGTACCTGATAATATCCAGACCTCAAGTCAAGCACACTGAACCACTGGCTGCCAGATAGGGCGTTCAGAAGATCTTCTATCCGGGGCAAGGTGTACTGGTCTGGCACAGTCCTCTTGTTCAGAGTACGGTAGTCCACACATAGCCGAACTGAACCATTCTTTTTCCTCACTACCACAATAGGTGAGGCATAGGGGCTCCGGGACTCTGTGATGATGCCTGCTCCTTCCATCTGCTGGAGTATGTCCCGGACATCTTCCACATCTCGAGGGGGTATTCTTCTTGACCTTTCTCTGAAAGGAGTAGGATCAGCAAGTCTTATAGCATGGGTGGCACTCTTAGAACACCCCACGTCCATCTCTGCTCTGGAGAACACTCCCTCTCGGGTGGCCAGTTTTGAACGAAGGCTGTCTTTCCACTGCTGTGGTAGGGGAGAATCTTCTAGATCAAAATCTAAAGGTGCTTTCACATGATCCGTCTGTTCTGCACTCACAGACATGATGGACGAAACTTGATCTAAAAGGTGTATTACACCAATCTTCTGATGACGATCAATCCGGATTTCCGTGGGGGTTAAATTCTGTACCATCACAGGAAAACTCCGACACCACCTTTTTCGCCAATCTTTTATCTCAGGTATGAGAGTCCACCCCTTCTTCTGATCCTCTTCAGGCAGAGACTCAATAAGGTATTGTCCAGTTCCCCCCAACATTTCATGGTGCATTGAGGCTATGGCTCGTAAGGTTTTGGTCTCACCAGGCTTCACAAATGCAGGTTCTGTTCCTGAATAGTGGCACAACCCTGGTTTTGTTGCAAGGGCTAGTCGTCGACACTCTTTTCCTAGGACAGGGCTGACCTCCATCAGTCGGTCTAAGGAGACATCTCCCACTTCTGTCAGATAGGCCCTGAATACATCCTGTACCATCTTTGCATTAGTACCCAATATTATTGGGGCACACACTTTCTTGGCTGCAGGGCATATCAAAGCTTCCAGCTCCATAGGACATATCATCCCGGTATTTAACTGGGGAATAGTTATGGTCACTTTTATGCATCCCTCCACAGGTTGAGCTTGAGACCCAACGCCCCATAGCTGAAACTCTCCTGCAGGTTCCATAGGAATGTGTTTCAAATGACGTTCATAGAAGTCTCTGTAGATAATGGTGACTTGAGAACCTGTATCTAGCAATGCTGAAGCATGAATTCCTTCCACTTGCACGTGTATCAAAGATTTAGGCCCAATCTTGGCCCCTACAGATAGACTATATGTAGGCCGGGTCTTCCTTCGCTTGTAAGACCTGGTCATTTGAGTCTCCCCGAGCTCGGTTGCCAGCACCCCCACATCCACCTCCATGGAATCCGCAGGGCACTCCCGCTGAAAATGCCCTGACTTTCCACATTTAAAGCAGTTCCCTCGGCGGGGTGAATCCTCAGGAAACAGCTTTTTCTGAGTCTTCCTGTGTTGCCCCCCACTTCCAGGGGGAAGATCTGCTCTCTCTGGTGGTGATTTGCATAAAAGCTCCAATTCAGCCACCTTCTTCCTAAGAGCTGACAGTTCTGTATTCTCTTTCTCCTTCTGTAGGGGTGGACACATCTGGTCTTCCAATCTCCTGGCTGTATTTATTAATGTGGAATAAGGCAGAACTTTATCATCCAACTTGGCTCTCAGCAGAATCATAACTGGATTACTGGTCAAACCACCTCTCTGAATTTGCTTAGATAGCCGAGCATCCAACTCAGAGGCAGTGACTGCTCCTTTATGGAATAACTTTCCAAGCGATAGCTGTAACCGGTTGATATAGTCAGTGGCTTTTTCGTGCTCCTTCTGCTTAGTGGCTAGGAACTTAACCAACAGATCATCCAAATCTTCTGATTTCCCATAAGCATCCTGTAAAACTTGTAGATAGTCGTGCGCAGTAGCTTGCCCATTTACTCCCTTGTACAGTCTTATCATGTCTGTAGCGGGAAAACGAAGACTCTCCACCAACCGCTGTTTCTTTATGGTATCCGTACAAGACCATTCCTCCAACAACTGCATAGCATTATCCTTCCAGACCTCAAAAGGCTCTTCTCCTGCAGGAACAGGCTGATTCCCAGAAAACACCTTTAGTTTGCGGTAACTATGGGTGTGGTTTGCCGTCACTATGGCTTCTGAGAGTTTCTGTAGTATGTCCGATACATCACTACCTCCTGTAGGCAGGGTGTGTACTTCAGGGTTGTCTGGTTTCAGTAATACTGTAGATGGATGAGATTCTGCTTTAGGAGTAATCATCCCCTGTCCTCTAGGAGGATGGGCAGCTTGTTTAGGAATGGCTCCGGCCTTTCCGGAGATGGGGGTCAGGAGCTTAGAATAATTTTCTGTGACATAATCTTTCCGTTCTAATTTAAAGGGTTGTTGCAGTGAGACCCTTTCTTTCTTATCAAGGAGAGCGTACACTAAGGAGCATCCTCCATCCGGGGCTCCATGTAAATGAATGTTGGTAGGCATCTCATGGTCTCCCAAGCCCGTATGACAATATATTAACATGTAAGTTTGGCCTTCAGAATCCTGCAGGATATCTCTGATGGTCGCCATTTCTATTCCCAGTCGAATTTCTATACACAAGATGACGTGATTCATCTCACAGCAGGATGGGACTTTGCATAACATCACAGCTTGCTGTAATGGTACATTTCTTTGCTGGGCCCACTGTTTCACAAAGGAGGGAGTGGCCTGAGGACTTAACCTATTCTCACTGGTTGTACCCCAATACATCTCAGCAGTGCCTCCATCTGTAACGGGGTTTTGGGGGTGCCCCCTAGTGTCTTTGGGGTCCCCAAACCTAGTTAACTCACTATGCCTGACAGGCGGATCCTGAGCCTCCGCTATCTGGGAGCTGGGGTACATGTCTGCGGCAGTGCCTCCACCCAGTGGAGCATCCGGGGTAGGGATGTGGGGTCCCACTGGGAACATACTTGGTGCAATGAGACTGACACAGTCTAACTGGGACTAACTTTATATGGTAAGTAACAATTGAACCAACATACATAGGAAAATACAATAGAGTAACACAGATAACAATGCAAAATGTGGATTTTCCTCACTCACCCACCAGCACACCTGCGCCCCACCCCCTTATCTTCGCCCTAGCGGCCGTTGGTGCACATAGGAGAGTTGGGGCCCTTATAAGTCCTGGGTCACTGAAGCAGCCTCAGATGTGTAATGTCCGTCACGGGACCTCAGAGTCTTTACTGTGAGTGAGGAGACAGGTGCCCTGTGGTGATACAGGGAGAGGCTTGGCTTACCCTCACAACACGATTAACCAGTCAGTCAGCAGCAGTCTCCTCTCACTGGATTCGCCAGACGTCTGGACTCAGTGCTTGTCTTCTTTCCTTTCCTGCAGGTCCCTCTCTCAGCTGGTGGGATCTTGGGTGAAACAAGTTCTCTCAGCCAGGCCCTATCTCTGTGCTACAGTCTCTCACATGTCCTCTCTCTGGCTCAGCATGTGGTCACTCTTAGAATCCTCCTCCCTCAGAGCTGTGCAGGAAGTCCTGACAGGCCCTGCGATGATGCCACACTCCTCTCTTGATTTCAGCAAGTCATGTGATCAAAGCTCAATGTTTTATTAACAGCATACTGAGTCCATGTGCCATCTACTGGGCATTTCAGATAATGCAGCCTGTGTAACTTCAAGGGCTACATTGTATTTTGATAACAGCTTCAGTTGATCTTATGAGGATGTTGTCTCATTTCCCTGACCATTGTCTTGGCAGTGGGTGAACGCCCTCTACATTATTTTCTTGTTTCATTATACTGGGCACATACTGATGCTGTGCTTCATACTAGCTCAGAGATAATATCAGTAACACATACTGAGGCTGTGTGATAACAAACCTAATAAAAGTCTTCACACCAGCTCACACAGAGAGGATAGCTTGGTCCCATATGCTGATTTATATAGGCAATAAGATCCAAACAATATATTATCTTCCACTCTCTGAAAAAGCCTGCTTGTATGCTACAAAGCACAGATAACATTAATCATTGCCACATGCCTTGATAGGAACAAGTATCTGCATCAGGTTTTAAAGCTCATGACATATACATTTGTGTATTTCAATCAGTCAACCAGGGAAGCATTCTCTTACCATATGTATCAGCCTTTTCTCTGTCTTCAGGACCGTGGTATACAGCCAGGATATCCATTATCAGCACTCTTTTGTAAAATACATCATTGCATTATCAGCACTCTTTTGTACATTATCAACATTTATACTAAACAGCTAAAGAGACAGATGAACAGCTGCAGGCCTGAAATTTAGCAGCAAATAGGTATGCGAACATCTGAAAGCCTAAACTGTTTAAACTATAGGCTTCCATCTATACTCCATATGGCCAAATCACCAGTGGGGGAAGATTAAAAAAAAAAACGGACATGGTGAAATACATAAAAAAGGCGTACCCAGGTAGTCACCTTATGGAAGTGCTGTTTACTGGGTCTTCAGGGGAAAGAGGCTAAACCCTGGTTGGGCCTCATGTATGCACAGTGGACCACATTCATCCCCTGAGGAGAGAGTTGGGTTAGATCAACAGTAACTAAAGGGGTTACCCAGGCTGGCAACTTATAGAGATGTGCTGTTGCTGGGTCTTCATATTATATTATTCAGGATAAGTGGCTGAACCCTGGCATGTATGCAGTGGACAGATTTCATCCCCCTGAGGTCCAACTCCCAGTCACTAAAGGTAGGAAACTCATAAAGATGTACTGTTGCTGGGTCTTCAGGGCTTAGAGGCTGAACCCTGGAAGGCCACAAAAATATTGGCCTGGTGAGCATAAAATAAAAATCTAGGTCTGCTTAAGCAGACTCCTTACAAACTGCTGTGAAGGACAGGAAAAAGACTGCCTGATGGGAAGCAGTTGGATCTATTTATACCAATTTTATAGTTCTATTTTCTGTCTTTCTTTATGTAAAGGGAGGAGCTAACGTATGAGTTAATGCTGCCATGTATGATCAGGAAATTACCTATATGAAAAAAAGTTTTTTTTTCATACTAAGCTACAAACGTCTAATAATACCTGTAACAAAAGATTATTTATGACAAAAGACAATCCCAAATAATTTATTTCAAGAAAACATAGCAATGTGATTTAATTATACTTAAATATGTATGTCCGTTCACTTTTCTGTTTATTTGCAAGTCTTTCCTTAGTTTGTTTGTTTTCTCATTAGATTGTCTAAGGGGTGATGCTATCATCACTGTCTGTCTGTGATAAACATTGTGCATTGCTGTCAAATTTCATCAGTGTCAACTCAGGAAAACAATGACCTTGAATTGCTTTCAAGCACTGATTTGTTAAAAACATCCACAGAGTTATCTATCAATGAATTGGAAAGTATATGATAGATGTGTTTATACTGTAAGTGCTTTATATTTGTTAGTATTGTAAAAATAAAAATATATATATTTTTTAAATGTAATCCTGAGTTTTAAAAGGTTTAAACAAAAAGAGAGAGAGCTAATTTAATAATTTACTAATGCCAAATTGTTTAAAATAAGCAAATATCACAAATCATGTTAAACATGTTGCAATCTTCTGTTTTTGGATCCAGAAGCCAGCTGAAGAATCAAAGGATTTTAAGGTTGAGATGTGACGCGAGCAGGTTTATTGAAAAGGAACCTCAAAGCAATTCCAGGTGGTGATAAACTGACCTGTCTGGTATTCAATTGCTGGAATCATAGAGGCTCCCTCAGAAGATGCTCCCCAGTCCCAGAAGATGGCATCTGATTCCAAGACAAAATGTGAAGAAGACACACCTGTTCCAGGCCTCCATGCGTAACAGCTACCAGCACATCTCCACCTCATTCGAAAAGGTAACTGTGTGATTGTATGCAAGTGTGTGTCTCAGGAAATCTGCTTTCAGACATTGCATGGCCCAATAGTACAGTACGAATGCCTGAAAGGATAACATCGGATTGCCTGAAAGGAGGACGTCAGCAAACCCACCAGATGAGCCAAGACCTGTAAGAGTACATCGTCTTGATGAAGATGTCTGAAAATCACTTTCTTGATCAGATGAATCTTGCAAACTGGAAATGCAGGATGCCAAGAACTGAACCTGTTGAGCTGGTGTCAGGTAGGACTTTTTGTTGTTGACCACAAAGTCCAGGGATTCCAGAAAGGTAATGGTATAACTTCCTTGAGATCATAACTGAGTTGCGTCCATGCAAAAACAGGAGGATATTGTCGAGATACACAATGCATCTTATTCCCAAAGAATGAATATGAGGAGTGACCATCTTAACCACTTATCGACCACATGACAGTCTATGTTGCCATGCAGTGCAAGACCATTATGCAGTAAAGGTACCAGCAGGGTTTAAATCAAGGACCCCCAGTTATCTTGAATTATTTGTTGGATTAAGGATTAAGAGTTGGATTATGGGTTGAATTAAAATTTGGCTAGGGATTTGATTAAGGGTTGACTTAGGAGAGTGGGTTATCAATGGGCTCAAGTATAGTAGCAAAATACAAATAGGTGGTGTTTGCAGTAGTAGGACACTCATGGTCTTTGAATTTACCCAAAATAAAATGTGTGGAAAAAAATACAAACAATATACTAATTTGACTTAAGTTTGAGATAAAATGGCTAAATCAAAAGTGTCAAAATTTTCTTAATTATGTGGCCTAAGAGATGTATTTTCTACAATTTTTTACTTTCCCTTAGTGATTTGGGATTCTGTAACTACTATTTAAGTTGCAATGCTAAATGTTCCAAAGATTTAGATTTAAACTGTATGTTACTCCTTTCAGTATTTGTTTTATAACTTCTAAAAAATGTATGAAATCCTAGACATATTGGGCATTTTACACAGTTCATCCGGCTGAGGAAGCTACATTTAGTAGTGAAATGCATACCGTGCCGACAACCGGGTACCGCTGACACAGATTGCAAGTATCATCTTTATTCTTATGGGACATTGGCCTTCAGGGTGAATATGGAAGCTATTTTTTATTGGAAGTAATAAAGTGTGTTTGTTTTTACTGACGCTGGAGTCCTGCTGCATTCACTATTATTCAGTCCTGTGTTGTGGGCTACAAGCTGGATAAGTTAGAGCAGACTTTCACTGCTCTTTCCTTGTGAGTTCCATTCCCATTACCTTGGTCTCCTTTTTCTGGTCTTTTTTCATATCTCATATTTCTTCATCCCATTTGGAGTTACTAAGTGATATTTTCTGCTGTAATATTTTTTTTATATTTTTATAATAATCTTTCATGGTAATTCACTTGCAAATTTAGCACGGATTGAAATTTTCACAAGAGTGTTCTTTGTGTACTTTGTGCACTAATATTTTAAAGGTATAGCGCACTTTTTTATATTTTCGTGTATTTATTGTGGTGTGTTTAGAGCTTGTGCACTTTGAGGTGCAGCTTTACCTTTTATTTGTGGATTCTAGTAGACTTTTCATATCACTTTCATATATTTTTAGCGCCTTTTTATTGCTTGTCTTTTTTTACAAATTCTATATTGGACATTTTGACAATCACAATGACTAATTGGTGAATCTATTTTGAGTTAGTTTTGTAAAACTGAGAAAAAATATTTTTTTTTTATTTTCTCCCTATTTAATATTGTGTTATGTATGTTATGTTATGTAAACATTTACTTTGGCACTCCAGATGTTTTGGACTACATCACCCATAATGCTCTTATAGCCACAATGCTGGCAAAACATCAAGGGAGATGTAGTCCAAAAACATCTGGGATGCCAAA